GCTTTCTGTCTCTAATGTCTCTCTCTGTCTGTCTGGCTAGCGCACATGCCCTATAGCAAAAATCTCTCAAAAAAAAAAAAAATGAAACTAATCCTGAAGAATCCTGGGTGTGCATAAAACATCTGGGAAAGAACCACCCCACCCCTGCCCACATGTTCCCTGCCTAGCCCATGCCCATGCCTCCTTTCAATGCACGTACAATACAGGACCCTAGAGAAAAGCTGCGTAAGAGATGGGGTTAGCTGAGCTATCACAGAACTTTCCCAGTCTCTTCCCAGTTCAGATCTCATCTCCCGCCATGGCAATCTACAAAATGAAGTGGAGCAGAAAGCCACATGCAGTAGTTTTTGGTGGTCTGTTTTCAGCTGGTGTCTAACTAAGCAGAGCTTGGTCTGGGTCTGCTCAAAGCTCCAGGCTCCTGGACAAAAGATCGGGGTTGGCACGTGGTGGAAGGAGAGAGGCTTTGCTCTCCTAATTGCCAGGGCAGAGCTTCCCTACCTCTACTAGGCCTCCATTTAGTCTTTGGAAAAGTGCCCTCTACAGGACGACTCCGGTAGTTCTCTGCTGTGAAGGCGCTCACAGTGGAGGGAGGAAACTGAGGGTGAGCATGTGAGCAAGGCGGGGCCATCACATAGGTGTGTTCATGTCTGCATGGGCATAGACAAAGGCACAGCTAAGGCACCTGGGCTGGGAAGGCGAGGCTAGGGAAGGCTTCACACAGGAGACAATGTGAACTGAAAACTCACTCGTGCGTGTGGATGGGAAACAGCTAGCTTGTCCTACCATCGCCTGTCACAAGAAGAGGGGAAAGGTGAAGGCCCTGGGAACAGAACACGCGAAAGCACAGAGGCGCATGCTTGGCAGATAGTGCCAAAGATCTGTTCTAGATCGTAGAATGTTCTAGAGTACTAGAACCTGGGATGTTCTGGGAAGCTGAGTGAGAGTGGGACCAGAGAGGGTGGCAGAGACCAAGTGGGATGTTATAAGGACTTGGATGTGTTTGAACTGTGGCCAGTGTAAATGGGGTGACAGAGGAGGAGGGCAGAAGGAGGAGAAGGTGCCGAAGAGACTGAGACACCAAGGCCAGCCAAGGTATGCAGGCAACTGGTTCACGCTACACTGGGCACCCTGCATGCATATTCTCACCAGCCCTCCCAGGGGCCTGGCAGCTGGATCCTTCTGGTACCCCTTTCCATGAATAGGGACACAGGAGCTTACAGAAGTCTCTGAATGCGTCCAGGATCTCATGGCTTGGAGCTGGCAACTCAGAGCCAGCCTCCTGGAGATGGACCCGATGATGCCCTGCTGGTTCTCACCTCAGGTTGACCCTGCCAATCAGCTCAGTTCCAACCTGGCCAAGAAAGAACACATTCCTCACTTGCTTCCCAAACTCCCATCAGCATCTGACAACAACAGTAAGAAAAAGGCCCAAAGATCTGATGCACACTGTGAGTGATGCCAAGTTCTTAATGTTACCCAGCTGTGCAGAAAGGCTGGCTGGAAACCTGGCCTGGGCAACCAGAGGCACCATGATTCAGACGTGCTGGACAGGAGCGGGTGAGTCACGGGCCTCCGGGAGGAGACTGAGCTCCACGGAGCATAGGCCCGCTCTCTGGACCCCTGGCCACGGTGGGTACTTAGCTGCTCTGGCTGCCAGGCTCTGGCTGCAAGCTGTGCTGCACCTCTTCCTTGGAACACTAAGCCTTCTGCCCTCTGAGAGTGTGCCATCGGGGTGCTGTGCTCAGCGTGTCCTCTCTAGACAGCACTGAGCAGCCACTGGCAGGCACGACTTCATCTAAGAACTCAGGTTGCTCCTAATGAAGCAAAGTTAAGCAAAGCTGCCCCAGAAATTAAATCAAGTCCTCCCAGTTCCCAAGTACTCTAGGACACCAAAACCTGGCTGATGAAGTCAACTTCTTTAGTTAGACAGGTGCCGCAGAGCCTCCCAGGTAACCACACAGAGGCAATGTTCCGAGCCAGTTCCACACACTTACCCCGAGTGCCTTTCCTTCAATCGCACTCGCTTGCTGGTTCCCAGAATGCCTTGCACATGGTTTAAACGAGGCCAAGTCAGGACCCTTTCCCTAGGTTCTGTTATGCACAAGGAGATAGGCAGGGATGCATGGGGCGGGGGGGCGGGGGGGAGAGAGAAAATAATCCTGGTCCACAATCCTGGTCCACTCAACCTGAGAGGGCGCCTGATCAGCCCCAAGGAACCTCTCTGCAGGTACAAGCTCCTCTGCCCAGATTTGGCACAGCCCCATCCTCCACTCCGTAGTGGTTCACAATCTGTTGGCCTTGGAGGCCCAGGGCCCACAACACTTGAGAATGGAGAAGCCAACACTTGTGCTGAGTCTTAGAAGTTAGTAGGTGTTTGCTGGGCCAGCAGGTGGTAGGAGGTTGGGGGTGAAGAGAGTGGGGAGACATGGCAGACAGAAGCAGAGAGCGTGATGGGCATGTGCAGAGAGACCTGGCGGCAGCCATCTTTTTCTAACAACCCACTTTCGCAGGTCTAACCCCTTCTCCAGAGAGCTAGGACTCACCCCATCTCATAAGACAGCACTAATCCACTCATGAAGGCGATGCCTCCGTGATGCCAACACCACCTACCATGCCTCACCGCTCAAAGATCTCACCACCTTCCAACATCATTATACTGGAGACCAGATTCCAAAACACGAATCTTTGGGGGGCAAACTATTATCTAAATTATAGCAGCCATTAACAGCCTGCTCACAGCAGTGCATGTAGAATCTCCTGGCTGACTTGTGTCTCATCTCTTAGGCTAAAAGAATGGGTTGGGGGGCCAGCAAGTGATGTGGTTGTTAAGGCACTGGATTTCCATATGGCCAACTACAGTTCGAGTCCCAGACCTGGGACTTAAGAATCATACCTGGTGTGTGTATGTCTGTGCCCAAAATCTCAGGAAGAGAAAGGAGAAGGGACTGAAGTGTGGCCATCCCCTCTGAGGTTTGATTTCTCACTTTCTCTCTTAATACCTTGCTCCGTCTCTCTCCAGTGAGCACATATGCCCTGTGGCAAAACCTTCCAGAAAGAAAAGAATGGGTTGAAGGGGAAGCTCACGACTCAGCTGGGCTGACTACAGTCCTTCCACAGGACTTACCAGATGGAGCTCACAGCCCCAGGACTCTGCTTCCCCCAGTGAGCCATAGTAGAAGAAAAGAGAACGGAGTAGGCAAAGCGGAGCAGAGATACAGAAGGAAAGAGACACGGTTTTCGGTCTTGCTGTGGTTTGTGACTCCCCAGAGTTCACGTGTTGAGATTTGATTGTGAAGGTACTAAGAGAGAATGTAACATCTTCATCGTGTTGAGAGGTAGGGTCTTTGGGAGTGATTGAGTGATTAGGGTGCGGTGGCCATGGTTGGGTTCCAGTAGGTTTATAAAGAGAGGAGCTGAGACCAGATGAACACAGAGACGCGCACTGCAGCTTTCACAGGACGTGACATCCTCCCTGCGTGGCTTTGGGACCACCTCCCCTCACACATACACACAGAAACTCTTCCCAGGAGTGTCCTCTGGATCTTTGACCTCCGAATCACAAGCTGAATAGAAATCGCCCAGTTTAGATACTTTCTGTTATGAGCAACAGAACAGCCTCAAATAGTCACTGTTGTCCTTTGGCAGCCTCCACCTGCTCGTCCCCCACGTGCTGATAGGAGCACTAGATGTTCCTCTGCGACCACAGCTGGGTCCACTTGGTTCCTGGCACCTGCAACCAGAGGCACGGCCTAGCACACAGGAACCAGGATCCAGTCCTAGACGGGTGTGATGCCGTTGGCCTTCCCAGGGCACCCCAGGGCCTGGTGCTGCCCCCCAGCACAGCACAGACCTGGCATGTTAGCCGTTTGCTTTCTCCTTGCCAGCCCTGCCTCCCCCAGGTTGCGATTTAGAGGGCAGAGCTCCAATCACCGGAGGCCTTGGGAATGTGTGTTGTGCTTATTAATTCATGCAGGTTGTGTGCCCTGATCCAGCGGGAGCACAACACAAGGACTTTAGAAGGTGGAGGGACAAAGTTGGGGGGACGCAGCATTGTGGTTCAGTTCAGAGTAGGTGAGTAGCCAGAGGGTGGGGCAGACACTGCTCTAGGCTGAAGGATGGGGTGCTGAGCAGGACAGGTTCAGTTCCTGCCCTTCCACCGTCTCCTTTCTGTAGCAGGGGAGATGGTGACAAAATTAGCAAGTACCTCTATCATAATGCAAATGGCAGCAAGGGCTCGGAAGACAAAGGAAGCTGCGCAGGAGTTTTAGCTGGTGGGTCAGGACAAGCCAGTGGTGCTCTGACCCTTCAGGGACTCCAGAATCCATGGTATGGGAAGAGAACCCTTCCCCTGCCTTGATCAGATGGAGCATGTGCAAAAGATTTTAGCCACTAGCCCTCCTTGAACCCAGAAACGGGAAAAGAGATGAGTTTCTGGAGCTGAGAAGGTGGGACCCGAGCCCTGGACAAGGAATGCAGAAAGATCCTGGAATAAGGAGGTATCGTGGGGCTGACGGGCCGAAAGGGAGGGGAGGATACTGCTCTCCTGGCTGAAGTTTCCAGATCAGCGCTGAGGCTGACGCCTGGTTTGAGAATGTGGGATGCCGAGGGGCGGTGCCTGGCTGCCCAGCCAGGCCCGGCAGGGGCAGCAGCAGGAAGCCCTGAAGTGAGCTCAGCGGCTGTGGCCAGGAGGTCGCCTCCTTCGTCCTGCCATTGGGTGAATTCACATGGTACAGACATGCATCCGATCTGATGAAATCTGAAAGCAAAATGAACAACCCCTCCCAGTTACTGGGAGGGATCTGCAGTGAATCCTAGCAAGATGACCACGGTCCAGTCCCAGCTCAGCCTCAGACCCTGTGGCACCCTGGAAAATCATTTATTTTCTTTCTTTCTTTCTTTTTTAAGTGTATGGATTTCTTTCTTCCATGAGTGAGACAGAGGAAGAGAGAGAGAGAAAGGGAGAGAGACAGAAACGGCACCTCCAAGAGAATGTCGACACAGCGACCCCTCCCTGCCTTCAGCCAGTCCTGGAACCTGGGCGAGCCTCGTGCACTCAGTGCTCAGGGAGGTCTCCAGATGTGGCCTGGAACCTTCCCGTGTGGGACTGCCTCACAGAGCGTCACATTTACCACTGCGACCCCATCTGGCCTCCCCGGTAATTCACCTCTGAGCCCTCCCCACTCATCTGGGCCCTGGCTCTGGCAGGGCTGTCCCAGAGCTCACAAGGACACTGGCCACGAGGAAGATTTAAAGTGTGTAAGACCAAATCACAGGGTAGAGACTTCCACTGTCAGACAGGGACAGAGCCCAGACTCCTGCAGATCCGCCCACACAGGCCGGCCGCGGTCTCCTCCAGCTGCATGTCTGTGAGGTGTGGGCCCTAAAACGAAAGCTGACTGACGTAGACCTAGAGAAGGGTGGGTTCTGCAGGAGTCTGCACCCCTTCCACAGGCCACAGGGTCCCAGGCCCGACGGGGATCTGAGAGCATCACTTCAGAAGGCAAAGCCCTATGGGACAGCATGTGGCAACTGGGGCAGGGCCTGGCTGTCAGTCCTGCTCTGGGGGCCCTGGCAGAGCCCCTTCCACTCCACAGCTCTTTTCCCCATCTTTCCTTTGAGCCCTTGACAGACTCTGAGGCCCAGGCAGGTGACATCCATGAACCCAGAGGGCCTGGGGCGTAAGATGACAGGCAGTTGGGCTGACACACAGCAGTCCGATGTGAAGGGCAGGGTCCAGCTTTAGCCTCTCGTGGCCAAACAGAACACAGACCCAGTGGTTCCAAATCATTCTACTTCCTCAAAGAAGCCAGA